CCTCTCTCTAAGCAAGTAAGACATAATCTAAAAAAATGTTGTGTTTTTCCTTGTGCATCGGTCAGAGGCTTCTTCTCGAGTACTCAACTACTCCCGGTATCGCTGGTATCACGGATATCTAACATGTAGTGCAGTTTAAATACTTGGAAACTTTATTTTGAATTTTGATTCCTGCTTACTTCTGAAATGCAGTGACCTAATATTCAGTAGCAAACATTTCTGGACTAAAGAGCTTAGGAATCTATCATGAGAATTAGGGGGTGTTTGTTTTCAGGGACCTTTTGGTGTAGGGACTAGAAAAAGTCCCTAACAAACCAAACAGGGTAGGACTTTTTGCTAAAAGTCCTTAGAAGCACCTCCTTGAGAGTCTTTTTCAAAAAGTCCCAGGGACTAGAAAAAGTCCTAGGACTAGAGAAACAAACACCACCTTACTCCTTCCGAGTTCAGAAAGCACCCAGGGAAAAAAAGTCAAACATTAATGAAACCATGCCAAACATCCCCCCTGATTAAACGTAAACAAACCCTCCTCAAAATTTGGACCTAACTTTGCCTATGAATTTGAGTATTTGACCAAGAAATTATGAGTAATATGGCACAGGTTACTACCTACCATTGGGTTCGTATTTGAAAGAGCAGTTGCAACACTGCTATAGGTACTTATTTGCTAAAGAAAATGCTATAGGTACGACATATTTCCGTCCAACACTCGTACGATTAGAGATGAGTCAGTTTTGTGGCCCTTTGTATGTTGTATCGGACAAAAATGGTGGTTTCATTGCAGTTGTGAGTTGTGTAACAAATATATTTGAGCATGCCTGCCAAAATATACGAAGGCTCTTAGGAAATTTATATATGCATCATTTTGGTGTGTCGACATCTCTAGCTTGATTAAATAGATGAAAATTTCGCTCCGAATAATCGCATCACTCTATGCGAGAACTACTACTCCCTTGGTCCGGGTTTGTAACTCAGCCACGGATTTTTACGTCTTCAATTTTTAAGTAACAAGCTTATATGCCATAAAATATATGTTGAGGAACTTCATTCGACAACGAATCTAAGAATAAACATGTAGACCACATGCATATTTGTACTCCGTATATACTTTCTACTCTACTAACCCTATATAATGTATTTTCCCCAAGAAAATCCTATATAATGTAAATAGTATGATACACCTACAGCTGTTAAATGCTCACATCGGAAGTTGTTGCAAATCCTACAAAGGATTGCATTGGAAAAGAAAGGGGTAGTAGTAGCATGCATGTGAAGCTAGACTGACTACCTCAGCTATTGGCCAACAAGCTATCATAACACAGTTGGCGCGCAGCTGCGCGCTACCTAGCTGCTAGTACTAGTACTCATAGATGCGGTGCCCAAGAGATCATTTGAGGCGGCCAAAGGATCCTGATTGACTGGCCTCACAGGCCAGGTCTTTGTCGTGCATTGTTGAGCTTTAATGCATGGTTGTGTACTTGTATAGACAATTAGACATGCACGTATGAACAGATCTATGCTCTCCTTTAAGTAGGTGGTATAATGGAGATATTTCATGTTCTTCCTGCTGGTATATGCAACCAAATCATACATAATACCCAAAAAAGAGGAAGAACGATTGATGCTAGCCATCAGTTGCTTGGATCAAGAAGCAAGCACCAGAAACAAATTAAGTATTAATCGACCCAGAAGTTCCTATAAGAACATCGCAAGAAGGAGATCCACAAAACCAACGAAGAACATACAAACGCATAAGATCTCCGAAGAGTGACCGAAACAAGCAGGGATAGATAAACCTGTGGTGTTTGAACGAATACACATGATAAATAGGGGACAGATCGATTGATAAAATCATAGCATAATAAATTAAGGACTGAGATGTAGCACATAACATAACGTGGCATGACATACTTTAGCAATCAGCAGCAGCTCACGTCTTGTCTTGCATAAGCAGTTATAGTTCCTGTAAAAATAACACGGACGTCGATTCGGACCAAGTCGCTTGATTCCCCATGGCCATGGCGGCGTGGCGTACGAAGAGGAGGCAGCGCAGCTCTGGAGGAAGGAGGAGGGAGGAGTCTAGAAGGAGATCGGGTGCATCGATCTGATGATGGTTTCTTGACTCACACGATGAGCACTAGAATAACCCCAAAACCAGATCATCATCATGCACCATATCTCTCTAGCTAGCTAACACCTCACCTCTGGCCCCTTTTATCTTCTCTCTCCTCCGCCCCCCTCCTACACCTGCGGACTCTCTTTCCTCATGAACTATAGCTCCCCCGACCTCTCCTTCTTGGAAGTAGGTGCCGGAGGAAAGAGGAGGAGGTGGTGGTGATGATGGCGAAGGGCCCAAGGTGCTCCAGGCAGCATGATTGCTTCTTGGAAGTTGGGGGATGAGGAGGAGAGGGAGGCGCTCCTAGCATCACATGGTGTGGAATGATGAAGGCCATCGACACAAGCCACACACGTCCTCTCTTTGTTTCTTGGGCTTTTGATCTTCTTTCCAGGGGTCTCCCTCCCCCCATGATGTGACGGTGATGGTAGTGGATGCTGGATATGGATGGTGGTGATGGAGTTTGGCTAGTCTAGAAGGTTTTATTTAGCGATAATCCTACATCTACAAAGAGTACCGGAGCTTTTACGGGACACTTCACACTAATTACCTTCCCTGAATTGAGTAATGCTACACATAAATAGGTTTACGGAGGTTTTACAGGCAGGTGGGTTTTGATTGGAGATTAAGGGAGAGGAGCCACCCCGTGAAAATTAGGAGGCAGAGGTTAGTTAGGAAGAAAGAATTATAGTCAGCGTGTAACTCTTTGTTTAGCATTATTGCCCTGAATTTCATAGGAGTGTCCCCCTTCCTCCCTCCATAATCTAACCAACCTGTAAAAACCTATCTGTAACTCTAGCATTATACTTTATTTATTTAGGGCATTTTACAGGCCTCATTTTATACAGGTCCTCCTTTTAGGTCTAGAAAAAAGAGGTGCTGATATTTTTTGTAATACTTGCAAGGCAAATCGCTAAATTGTATTTGGATTACAGCATGTGAAATATGTTGAACCCTTATGAAAGTATCCTTACAAGAAAAACACATGTTCTTCTGTATATATCAACGTCATCTTCCTTATGTACCTGTCGGGAGCAAAGCTCGATTCCGCCTTTGGATCTCCATAACACCCTCAGATCCAGGGTAATGTTGTTCACACAACAACCAGGAACTCGCCGACCGGAGCCAGAAGAAGACGGCAAATCGAGGATCAAATCGTCGTCTCGAAGAAGGAGGTAAGGCCTCTCCGGTTATGTCTAACTGCATCTAGGATGGTTGTCCAACCCTCCTCCCGGATCTTCAATGATTAGCCGCGGCCCAGGAACAAGCGGTTGGTATGACATTAACATCGTATGGTGTAAATATCGTATGTGATTGTATCGAGTACTCAACAGTGCACACTTGAGTAAATACATCACAGACAATACGCACACAAGTACTAACACAAGTCAAACTGATACCATACGAGATTATATCGAGTACTCAACAA